CACAAAGTGGGAGAAAGCAGTGCCCCCTAGAGGAGGCTCACTCCAAACTCGCAGAAATGACCGTGTCTGCCTCCTTCCCGGCTGTGCCCTCAGCACTTAGCCCTGTGCCTGTCCTGGTGCTCAGTCCGTGTGGTAATAGAGGAAAGTTAATCTGCATGTTTTTGACAAGATCGCCCACGTGGTGTGTGATACTCACGTGACGTGGTCCCTCCTGCCCCCCTCCCACCCCCTCAACACACCTGAAGCGCCAACAGTTCCTGGGACCATGGTAGCCGCGCACCTGCTGGCCAGGCACTGCCCTTGGTGCTGGGGGCACAGCACCGACCAGCCGGAGCCCCGGGGCACACAGACCCACCTACAAGACGGGAAACATGGCGCCAGGTCCCCAGGGGAGGCCTGACCTCACCACGCACCGCTGTCGGCCTGCCTTCCCCCGAGGTGAGCTCTGAGCCGCGGAGGGAGTGGGTCCCTCGCTGTGTCCACTGCAGGGCTCCTGGGAGCGGCTCCGTCATCTGCTGACGATTATCCGGCACCAGCGCAGGAGCCCCTGGGGTTCACACTGAAACGGCTCCTGTTCTGCCCATCGCAGCCCGTGTCCCTGCTGCCCGGGTACCGAGACGCCGACCACCTGCACGTGTGTTTAGACACGTCCCCACGAGCACCGGCCCTGCCACCGGCCAGGTTAATCTTATAAACCAGAAGTTCCACTCCAGAGCCCTGGCCTTTCCCCGCAAGATCAGACAGGCCCTGTGCTATGCAGCTGGGTGGGCAGGATAAGATCGAGGTCTGAGGTCCGACGTGATGACGTGATGTAACCTCATGCTGCCCGGCGCCCCCCAGCGAGGGCCTGGAGTCCCGAGGATGGCTCCGTCTCCAAACAGCAGGGACCAGATAAGCCTACGATGGGCGAGATAAGCTCCAGGTGACGACCTGCTGGATGGTTACGACACCATGGGTGACGGAGTTTTGGAATCCAGCACCATACGGTCCGCACACCTCACACTGGGGCAAGACGCGTGCTTTGGTGGGACAGGCGCTGGGCCAGGAGTCCCAGCGGGCCACAAACCTGCTGTCTGAACTTGCAATTACCCTGCCTCTCTGGGCCTCGGAAAATACTGGATGGGCATCAGCCTGGTCTGAACACATTCCAAATCACTTTTTAAAAAATATATTATTTTATTGATTTCAGAGAGAGAGATAGAAACATCAGTGATGAGAGAGAATCATTGATCAGCTGCCTCCTGCACGCCCCCCCCACTGGGGGTCAAGCCAACAACCCGGGCATGTGCCCTGATCAGGAATCAAACCCTGACCTCCTGGTTCACAGGTGGATACTCAACCACTGAGCCACCCGGGCCAGGCCCAGTTCACATTTTAAAGTGACACCGTGTGGGCCAAACGATGCCCTTATGTGAGCCACCGACACCCGTAGCCACTGCTGCTACCTGGCTCCCAGACAGACGGGAAATAGTTGAGGTTTTGCAGGCCAAGAGGCAAAATTGAGGATGTTCTATAGTTAGTTACACGAACAAGAGAAAAAAACAACACAATTTTCCACAAATGTTTTATTGATAAGATTTCAAATGTCAGAATGAAGTACAATATTCTGGACGACAGGTCTACCAAGGAGAAGAATGGAATTTCAGGGGGAGAAACTGGTTTTGTGTAATTGGGTTTCAAAGGTAGTGTTCTCTACCAAACAGGTTGCAAATGTTCTGTAAAAACCATTCCTGGCTCACCGGCTAGTGGGCTGGGCCCACGGGCCCACGGTTGGCTGACCACCGCATCGGCAGGCTGCTAACAGGGTGACCCCCAGCCCAGCCCGCTGGGGACAGGCCCTGCTCATACCTATGGCCCTGCTTAGTCATTAATAGCGCCTCTCTTTCTCCAAAAAAGGGTTCGGTGTGGATGAGGACTTATTCAACATTGTTCTGATTTATAGCTAAGATGGTTTTCCTTTGCAGGGTTTTAAGCAGGGGATGCTTTTTATATGCCTAAACAAAACAGGGCCCTCAATGTGGTTAGCTCTCAAAACTCACCGTGCATAACAATCATCTGGGGAGTTAAAAAAAAATAAAGATGCATGGCCCTCACCCCCTAATTCAATGGGTCGGGGTGAGACTAGGGTGTCCTTACATCTTTTTAAAAAGTAGAAGTGCCTGGCTGGTGTGGTTGAGCGTCGACCTACGAACCAGGAGGTCATGGTCCAATTCTCTGCAGGACACGTGCCCAGGTTGGGGGCCTCATCCCCAGTGTGGGGCGTGCAGGAGGCAACCGATTACTGATTCTCTCTCATCGTTGACGTTTCTATCTCTCTCTCCCTCTCCCTTCCTCTCTCTGAAATCAATAAAAACTTTTTTTTTTTAAGTAGAAGCTCCTTGGGTGGTTCCAATGCGCAGCCAGGGCTGTGAGAACATCGGGGTGCTTCAGGAGGCGTGGCTTTCACAGGAGAAATGGGGGGCGGGGGGCAGAGAGAGAGACTGAAGGCCACCTCCTCCCTGTGGGAACCGCCCTGTGGCAGGGGGTGGACCTTACTTTGTATGAGTTGAGGACCTGCAGGGTGGTCCCGGACGACAGCTTCAGCCGGATCAGCTCCTGGTTCCTTCCTTCGATCGTCTCTAGGAACTGAGCGTTCTCGATCTTCAGCTGCTGAAAATCGACGTCATGGAGGGCCTCACCCACCTCTTCCTTCTACAGGTCAGAGGGGAGGGAGAAACGACAGGAGGGAGTGACTTCCGAGTGTATGGCCCACACCCTGCGACTCCGGGAGAGATTCTGGAAGCCAGGCCTCACTCGGTCATTCAACAAACACAGCCTGCGGATCTGCGTGGGGCCAGGCGTGGCCCTGGGGACAGGGATCTGAGCATAAAGCCTACTCCCTGGCCTCATGGAGCGCATCCTCGGTGAGGGTTCACAGACAGGTGCGGGGTGGTGGGACGGGCAGGAGCATCGGGCACTTGGAGGCCCCTGGGCCAGGCCAGGGAGACTGGAAGGCGGGGGCAGGCACGGCTTCCCTCCCTCTCAGCTCCCTCTCCTATGTGAACTCCAGCTACCGATCCTCTAAGCCTGGAGTTCCTACCGAGGCACAGGGCTCCGGTCCGGCTACTCAGAACAGACTGGGGCGAGATAGATCATGTGAACTATTCTTCACGCACTCCTTTCCTGGGGGGAGGGGGGGTTCTGGTTCTTGGAGTGTGGCCTGGGCCTCAGCACCGCTCCGGGCTGAGCTGCCTCCAGCAGGTGAACTACGGCTAAGCCATCTGGCACCTGAGCAGAAATGTGGGGGGTCAAAGTAGAGGAGCTTGCATTTGTCCTCAGTCACTTTGTGCCGTCCCAGCTTGTGGAGTCTTTCGAGATCCCACGGCAATCCAGCACGCGTCCCTGGACGTGTTAAATCTCCTGTCCGACATTGCGTCACTGTCCGGGGCCACCTCCGACATGCGTGCCATCGGGGCCCAGGTTCAAGCTCACAATGAACCCCCTGAGTGAGGAGAGGACGGAGCCCTGTCATCACACCCGGGAGACCCTCTGCATGTCCGCCTACCGCCTTCAGGTCAGCTGTCCAAGGACCCACCAAGGCACACGACAACCCTGCCACCCCGGCCACATCCCCCAAAACCATCCACAAGTACGACGCGATGAGGGCCTTCTAAATTCAAGCCAACTCTGTCTACGGACTCACCAGCACAGAAACTGTATTAGCTTCCCGCGGCTGCTGTGACGAATCGCCACACGCTCAGTGGCTTATCAAACAACACAAGTCCACCACCTCACGGCTCAGGAGGCCAGAGCCCGAGGCAGTTCTCTGGGAGGAAATCAAGGTGCTGGCAGGGCCGCCTTCCTTCCGGAGGCCCCTGGGGAGACCGCTGCCTGGCCCTCGCCAGCTTCTAGAGGCGCCTGCCTTCCTTCGCTCCTAACGGACGCCTTCCTCTGCCTTCCTAGTCAAAGCTCTGTCCTGATACGCCCTGGTTGTGGGTTTGCTCCCTGGTCGATTAGGGCACATACACGAACCAACCAATGAATGCGTCAATGAGTGGACCAACCCATTGACCACCTCCTCTTTCTTCTGTCCTCTCTCTAAAAATAATAATTTTTGTTTAAAATACATCAGCCCGGCTGACTTGGCTCCGGGGTTGAGCAGTGACCTATGAACTAAGCGGTCACTTGTTCAATACCCGGTCAGGGCACCTGCCTGGGCTGTGAGCTTGATCCCCCGTGGCGGGTGTGCAGGAGGCAGCAGATCAATGGTTCTCTCATCATTGATGTTTCTCTCTCTCTCTCTCTCCCTCTCTCTTCCTCCCTCTCCTTTCCTCTCGGAAGTCAATAAAAAAAATTTAAAAAGACATCACTCTGACCGCTGCTTCTGTCATCCCATCTTCTCTCCTCCTCACTGGACGCTTGTGGTTCCGTTGAACCTTCTCAGACAACCCAAGATTCTCTCCCCATCCCAAGATCCTCGACTGTAATCACATCTGCAAAACCCTTTTGCCGTGTGAGGCGACGTATTCAGATTCCAGGAATGAGGACACAGACATCTTCGGGTGGACACTGTTCTACCGACCACAGTGACTTAAAAAACAGAAGAGGCCACGTACCTGCCTCAGTTGCAAAAGCATCTTTTTCCTCGCGACTTTGAGAGAAACATTTTTCAAACGTAATTTATCCTTCATATTATCCTGAAAAACAAAAGCACATTTTAATCCACTTCTCTTCTTCTTCCCTGTTGGTTTGAAACGGTTGGTAAGTCTGAGGCTACAAACCAAACCTTGAGCCCTAACAATCAGTCACTTATTTTAAGGTCCTTTTGCATCGACGCAAGCTGGTGTTGCTGTAGCATTTCATTCATCACCAAGAAGGGAGGAAACATATCAGATCTTGAAACAAATAGCAACAATAAAAACAAGTCCTCCATATGAGATACTGTTGATACTCGCCCTGCCTGCCTGACTGAGCCCGGAGAGATTTGCATTCTAAAGCACACACACACACACAACACCACACACACACACACGTCGGGAGATGTAAAAACCCTCACATGGAGCAACGCTGATGCTGGGCCAGCTGCAGGGGGGCTGCCTCCCGGACCCCGTCCACGTCATCCTGCAACGACTCTCCTCTCCCTTTCCAAGCGCCAGCCTGCTGCCAACTCACCCTCCGGCGGTTCGCGTCCTCAATGTACTTCAGCACTTTCTGAGTGGCCAGGATGCTCCCTTTCTTCTTGGCGATGGTTTTCAAAATATCTTTTTCAAACTCTTGCATTGCTTTCTGAACCTCAGCCATCCGAATTTCAGCTTCCTCAATGATAGCCTGTGTGAGTCAGCACAGAGAGAGAACAGTTTCCAAAGGTTCTCAAGGATGTATCCCACCTTCTCAGGCCTCCTTGTGCCCCATATACTATGTTTCTTCTTAGTCTGAGAATCAGACCCTTAAGATGCAGATGTGACTACATGAATGTTATTATGCAAAAGCTTGCCTCAAAAAAGTTAATAGTAAGCATAAAAAGGCGGCAAACAACAACAGAGCCTCGGGGCTCTTTCTAAATATGTGTTTTCATGTCTAAAATATTTATCCATTAAAATTATAACATTAATATAATATATAATAATAAAAGAGTAATATGCTACGTGAATCCACGGATCTGTCCCTCTGCGGACAGCGAGCGTGTTCCTGTGTGCGCGCCCACGTTTAGAAATGGAACAATTTAGAGCTAGAACAGAAATATCTGTTTTTCATTCAACACGGCTCTCAAATACTAGTAGAAGCCCACACCTTCTTCCCATGGGCAACCTCATTAACAGTCCCGCATCTTCTCGGGAGGAAAACTGGTCTTGTTGGTCTTCAACAAGGCATGGACCACAGTCATGCATGTTGCATAGGGAGCGGGACTTCGGGATTTTTCAACCAACTCACTGAATTAAACCTCAACCCCCTTGTATTATTAAGAAATTATTAGTATACATTTTAAGGGTATTTATGATTATTATGGTTATTTTATTTTTTAAATATATTTTATTGACTTTTTTTTTTAACAGAGAGGAAGGGAGAGGGATAGAGAGTTAGAAACATCCATGAGAGAGAAACATCGATCAGCCGTCTCCTGCACACCCCCAACTGGGGATGTGCTTGCAACCAAGGTACACGCCCTTGACCGGAATCGAACCTGGGACCTCCATCCACTGACCCAAACCAGTTAGGGCGGTTATGGTTTGTTTTTTTTTTTTTAAAAAAAAGAATCCATTCCTTAGAGACATATCCTGAAATATTTACAGATGAACAAGATGCCCAGGATTCATTTCATGACAGCCTGCTTGCCTATTCTGGGGGGGAGTTGGTAGGGATATGGAGGAGACACGAATGGCCATATGCTCATGGCTGTTGAATGTGGGTGCTAACTATATAGGGGTTTCATTGTGCTAGCCTCTGTTCATTTGTATAATTTTGAAATTTTCCATTAAAATTTTTTTTAATCTGTTTTCTCTTCAAGGAGGTGGTGAGTTCCTTAAAGGTAGGCCCTCTCCCTGGCCGGTGTGGCTTAGTTGGTTGGAGCACCGTCCCGGGCGTACACTGAAAGGTGGCGGGTTCAATTCCCAATCAGGGCACAATTCCAGGCTT